TATATATATATATATATATATACAGAAATGATCTAATGAGCACCGGTGCTCATCTTATCCTAAGCACCGATGAGTTGGCACATTAATTCATTGGTGGATAAAGATTTTGTGAGTTCCAATTCACCAATGAATTAATGTGCCAACTCATTGGTGCTTAGGATAAGATGAGCACCGGTGCTCATTAGATCATTTCTGTATATATATATATATATATATAGTTCCAATTAATTGGTGACATGCCTAAAATGAGGAAAGAGGGATCTAAACCATATTTATGCTAGTAGAGGCCCTGATCTTGCAATAGTATTCTATGTAGAAGTCCACAGGATAAAGTTTCAACAACCCTTACACAGCCACTTACTTCGAATTAGCTGCAGAAGAAGATCAACAAGAGAGAGAATAATGGTAGAGATTATATTCACGTGAGAATGCCCAAAATAATCTTCCCAGGAATAACAGACAATGCAAAGTATTATTGTTTGACTATGTGCCTCACATGTTGGTGTTATGTCAAGTTGAACACTTGGGGCTTAAAAATGATGGAGAGCATTAATTTATTGACTTTAGGCTTTATAACTTTATTTCTATGGATGGAAGTGAAGGGGATTGTGGAAGAGGCAAGCCATTTAAGCTCGGATTCGAGTGCGAGTGTCAGGTACGAGTATATATATCTAGAAGTCAGATCATTCTCCTTTTAAAAATTAAAATATGGGGATATGGTTAAAAATTATCTGAATTTTGGATACAGGTACGGAGATACGTTTTACAAAATATTTTTAAAAATATGACCGAAAAAAAATTTAATAAAAAAATGACAGACATAAATTTAAATTTAAAGCCAAAATAAATTTTTTTCCCAAAACAATTAAAGAAAAAAAATTTCAATGTCTTATACATTATTTAAAAATAATTATGGAAATGAATTTAAATTTAATACCAAACAAAAGATATAGCACTAAATCATTTTAATTATAAAATAAAAAGTTCCCACAAATAAAATATAATATAAAAATAAACTTAAATTAAATGAAGTTGACCATACAACTTATTCCAATATAATAATGGGAAAATTACAAGGAAGCCGATATTTAAAGTTTCAAATTAAAAAATCAGGTGGGGAAGTTTTTTAATCAAAACTCAGGTGGGGAAGTTTTTTAATCAAAACTCAAGTATTTGACATTTTAAATATTAAATAAATATCATATATACAAATTTCACACACAAATCCTAGAAATCAAATGCAACTCTCATCTCTCTCTTCCAGTCTCTTCCCATCGCCTCTCTCCTTCCCGGCTCTTCCCGCCGTCGATGAAACCATAGCGGAGGGCGACGGTTCTCACTGTGACACCTCCGAGCATCGCTTGCAGCACCGGTCTGTGCGGTGGTCGAATCGGCTGTGGCACTCGTAACAGCTCTCGTCGGACTGGAACCCGCGGCGGCAGCAGTGAGCGTGACACCAGCAGACGCAGTGGTGCTCACTGCTCGAAGCGACGCAGCAATATTAAATCACACAATATCTTGATTTTGCCATAAATATGCTATATAGTTTTGCACAGTTACAATCTGGGTTTTCCCCCCTTTGATCCAGATTTCTTGAATTAGCTCCGTCATGAAGGTTCATCTGGTCCCAATCACTCTGCATTACGACATAGCATAGGCTATCTCTCAGGTGAACGTCTGCGGGCAAAGGAAGCTTCGACGACTGCCCCACATCTTCGCCAAGGTGCTGTATAGTTTTGTGTGTTGGTCGACAATGGGTGCGGCGCAGCAGCAGCGTCGCCTCACTTTTCATTTTTGATTCATCTATTGTGCGGTGGGTGCGGTGGTCGACCGTGTGGCGGGTTTTTGTGTGTGAGATGGCACAGGGGATGTGATCTGGTTGTGGTTGTTGCAAACGAATTCGAAAAAATTAATTGGCGGTTGTGGTTGTTGGCTGCGGCCGCGGTGGTGGAGTGGGACGAACCATGTAACGGCTGCGGTGGTGGATCTTGGTAATGGTGGTGTTTTGTGCGGCGAGTATATAACTGTGGTGGTGGATATGTTGGTTTTGGAAATGATGGTGTTACTACTGGTTGTCGTGGAGTGGCGGCTCCGTGGAGTGGCGTCTTTCATTGGTGTTGTTGTGGTGGTGGTATGGCGTTGGTGCTGTTGTGGTGGTGCCGAGGTGAGGGGGTCGCAAGTGGCGGTAGTATGTGACCCACTATTTGGCGCATGTGACCAAAATTTGACTAAAAATATAATCTGTGACCAATCATTTTGTTATTCGTGACCTAAAAATTATATAATCTGTGACCTTGAAAAAAATCTGTGACCAATTAATTTTGAAATATGTGACCGTGTGACCCATAAGATTTGATCTGTGACCAATTAATTTTGAAATATATGACCAACGAAATAATTGTGACCTACAAAATTTTTGATCTGTGACCATTAAATAATATGTGTCTTATAAAAATTATTATCCGTGACTGAAAAATAATATGTGACTAACTTTATAAATTTGTGACAGGAATGGTCGCCGGAACGATCGTCGGAACAGTCACCGGAGAAGAGTGGTGGTCGGAATGGTTGCCGGAATTGTCCCCGGAGCGGTATGGGTGGGTGGTGGGGGTGGGTTAATTATATTATATTTTTAAAAAAATGCCTGATTTTTGAATTTTTAAACTATATACCTGATTTTTGAATTGGTGTAAAGTATACACCTTATTTTTTATTTTTTCCCTATAAACTAACTTCCAACCCACCAATGGGGCAGGCCAGGAAGCATATTAAGCCATTGTTGGCCCATTTATTTATAGGCATAATTTCTTGTGCTTCCTCTGTAGGATTCCGATGTGGGATTCCAATTGGTTGATATGTATGAGTTGTTCTTCACAATGCTTCCTCTATAGGCTAAATTTTATGTATATTCACCAGAGAATCAATAAAAGAGGAGGCTGCTGCTGTGCAAGAGCAAGTGAAGCAGGTGATGGGATCCCTTGCTATTGTTGGGGTAATCTCATTATTATGTTTGGCTAGTTTTGATTTGAGGCAAATATACCAGCCCAATTGCTCAACCTTCTCCTCCTCCTGCTGCCCTTCAGCCGCCACTAACAAATTCGAGAAATAGCAGCCACCATCGTCACTGCCATCCTCCTCCTTAGATTGAATACCCTCTACCCCTGTGGCCACACAACCCATGTAATAATTGTTCGGAAAATAGGAATCCCCACTGTCCACAAGTTGTGGACCTTCCTGATCATCGACCACTGAACTTCCATCACTGCCGCTGCTAAAGCGGTCCTCCACCTTCACAATGAGTTGGACAGGGGTGGTATCGGTTGGAGCATCCACTGGGAGTGGATTCGATTTCTCTCCTGCAGCCATTCAAATCCAAGGAATCAAAGTGAATCTGGGGCAGAACAAAAATCGGGCGAAAAATCTGGTTACAATCTTGAGGGGCTTGCTTTTGTATCAACGAACCCAAATCACAACATAACTGGATTACATACTGCACCTGCTAAATCACCACCTAATTTGGAGATTAATGGAACCCAAATCACCCAAGATTGGAGAAGCAGGATTGCAATTTTGCTAAAGACATTGCAATTTTGCTTTTGTATCAACGACATTGGAGAGGCCCATTTTGCTAAAGATATTGGAGAGGCCTATTTACTAATGAACCCACCCATTTGGATGGCTAAAACGATCATGGGCTTAAATGTAAAAATTTATCATTTTTTAAGTTAAAAAATCTATTTTTTTATATAAAAATTTATCTAATGTCTTAAAAATAATTAAAATAATATTAAAAATACGAAACGTATTATGACGCTTATTCTTCTCATTGACACGCCTAAACTTGTGATTCTTGATTCTCGACCTCGACGCATCGCAACGCATTATGCATTTTAGTACATTGCTATATACACCTTTTGGAGATATTTTGTACAAACAATTAAAGGATAATATTACCACAACAATTTTTATTTCTTGCACATCTTTTAATTGGAATTAAGGTTCTTAGCCCTTGTTTGAGCCTCGTGTCGAGAGAAAAATGTATTTTTTAATAGTAATTTTTGGACAATTTGTGGTTAAAAATTAAAAAAAAAACAATTTTCGAGTAATATTTTTTATTGGAGAATACGTGATTAAAAATGAGTTTTAAAAAAATGAATTTTCAAAAAAATTGAGCTCAAACAATCTATATTTATTATGAAACTTATATTACTAACAATTTTTCATGTCATTTTTATCTTCAAACTTTGTATTAGTTAACATATTTAATATTTGATAACAATTTTATGTCCAAAAATTCGTTGAAACGACATAAAATACTTATTTTTCCTTTATATTTTTAAAAATAAATAAATAAAAAGTACAAAAAAAATATTTATCCCTCATTTCAAAACATTAAAACCAAATATTATAATATAAATTATCATTAAGGAAGATATGTACTAATAAATAAAAGGTTGAAGATAAGAATCTAACGGGAAAAAAAGTTAAAGAAATAATTGTTATATTGAGCAAAGATTGAGGAACTTAACTTAACTACGAGCAAAGTGTGGTGTATCGAATAAAAATTGTGGCAGCAATATAACCACCCATAACTAAAAAGAAAACAAAAAAGTAATATATAATTCTCATAGTAATTTGATGTTACGATACGAGGGTTCATAAGGATGTAGTTCTATTGAATTATTAATTTTGTCGACTCCTTCTTCTTTTATAATTACTTTAATTTTTATTTATTTTGTTTCTGTCAAGAAAATACAATAAGGCCCTGTTTGGTATCAATAATTTTCCATGGAAAATGGAACTTTTTACCTGTTTGATTGCAAAAATTTTACTTGGAAAAATTTTCCTAGCCGCCATCTCACGCGCCTCTTTTCCTTCAAATAGATGAATTTGTTTTTCTTTTGTTTTTGTGGTTTTTGCAACTTTTTTTTGGCAATTGGAAAAAATTATAGATACAATGGTAAAAAAAAATTATCACTTTTATTTACAATTTTCATGCTAAACAAAGCCAAACGAATGGTATTCAGTATGATAATTTTTTAAATTTTTTAAATTTTTTGTAAGTGAAACAAATTCTAGACCCAATTGTAAAATAAATTATTACTCTAATGGACAATTTCCATGAAAAATAAAGGCAAATGAATACCAAACTTTCAACATTTTTCAGGTGGAAAATTATACCAATCAAACATAATTAATTACAATTTCGAGTAAAATAATTTATAAACAATTCAATTCCCTAGAATTCATTTTCTTTCCACCCATTTTTCACATTCGCAATCAAACGAACCCTAAGTTTTTCTTATATATGCGACGTGAAAAAATATTATTACTCTATTTCCTTAAAAGAATTAATCGAGTCGAGGGACAAGAATACCTGGACACTTTGAGTGTGGGGCGGACCTGGGGGGTGGCCTGGGTGGGCACGTGCCCCCCCAGATTTTAAAG